TCGAGAAGCGATTAGAATAAAGATAGCAACGGGGGTTTTCACAAATCGTATTTGTGACATTAGGGTCTTTAGAATATATGTATGTTGTTTATTAATTTCAATTTGGTAATGTACGGACAAATTATAATCTCTGGATATGGAGATTACACCTAATAAAATGTTGAGTACTATTAAGTAGAACATAAAAACTGTTTGCCATATCAGCTTGTTTTTGGAAACTTGTTTTCAAGTAGATCGTTAATCCCAAGTGTGGTGTGAGAGTGCATGCGGCATGATCTAGTTGTAAAGCCTTACGAATGTACCTAGGTTCGTTACCCCGATGGAGCACTGCTCCGATGGAAAGGTAGTCAGTTAACCGCGTGGTTAGTATTGGCATGTATGCTGAACATTTTTGTTGTGTCTCTATGTGGGTGTTTTTCAGTTTAACATTGATTAACATATTTCCAGGAGTATGCTAATCAGTATTATTAGATAGATGTAATCAAGCTAGAGCTGGTACCAAGTTTGATTAGGATTTACCAACGCCACCATTGGTACCTATGAAAATAAAACCAATACTCCAAATAAAAGGGACAAATGGAATCGCTGGGTGTTTTTTACTTTGCAATAATTTATTATACTTTCATTTTCCCTACTTGTGACATTTACAGTTGCGTCTAAAGAAACGATTTTTATTACAGCCACTACACCAACTACGGCATCTCCAGTACGTTCAGTCACTAATATCAGGTAGGTATGAATATTTACGTCATAATATTACAGTTGCATTTTTCGGAACGCTATTGTTATACTGCTTACTCGTTTCTTACACTTTTATCTTTCGGTTATCTTTTCTGCTTTAGCTACATCTAATCGTACGGATTGCGTTGCGGTAGTAACAAGCCCCTTCAATATAACAAACTAAATAATTATAGGTATTTGCGGGATATCTGTTTTAGAACAAAAATAATTTATTTAACAAAAATGCAGGTTAAATGATTAGCAATTGGGAAAAAATTAAAACAGCTGACGAAATACTGGTGGTTGAAAGGGGTCGAAAGTAGTATTTTGCAATTTCTGGCCAAACTATTAATGTAAGATCAAATTTTGGAACTAAAAGTGGAAGGGAAGAAACAAAAGTATTTACTTTTGTATTTACACGTATTCGCATAACCTCAAAAGTGTCATCAAAAACCGGAAAACCTGTTTTTTTCGTTTTCTATTTTTATTTTTGAGAAAACAAGTCCTAGAGATAGCTGTTACATTCTTTTGCACTGCACACAGTGTCCCAAATATATGATCTAAAGGTTTAACAATTCGTTATATAAAAAACGTTTCCAATAGAAGGTGATTGATAATTTTTTGCATTTTTATTACACTCAGATACCTCGAAAATTGTTAGCTTACTCTTTCAAAACCCGAGTCAAAATCTAACATCATTTTAAAAGTGTAGGTACTATTCGGAGGATTGTAACCAACCCAGAATAGTATATTAAAGTACAAGTGTCATTTGACGAAGATTGTCGCACGAGGTAGTTTGCCGCATAAGCCGCGTAGCGGCGAATGCGGCAAAAGCCGAGTGCGACAAGTAGACAAATGACACGTGTGCTTTATACTATTTTTTCTATTTCGACTTTTATTTTAAATAATAAATTATACAAATTATAAATATTGCCTTTAGGCGTTGTTAGGTAATTTTAAACTATCATTCAGTGTATGTTGGTAATAGACACAATTCATTTATTTTCACGTTGGCTAACCTGATTCCTGTATTTTCAAACTCCAAACCTTTAATTATTTGGTCATAATTCCATTTTGCGGTAGTTATGATGAATACGGATGACAAACACGTCTCTTGTACCCCAACAGAGATCCAAGAGATTGCCAATGAAGCAACGTTAAATTTACTGCCTGTAAAATCGAAAGTAAAGTACGAGGAGTAAAAAATTTTTGAAAACTGGCTGGCCGAGAAGGGCAGTTCAAAAAGTAAGCAAGAATGTACTGCTGGCATATTTTACTACGCTAAGTAAAAATAAAAAAAGTTCTACCCTTTGGAGTATATATTCAAAATGAACCGGAATTAATACAATCGGTCAAGTTCCTCGTACGTTATTTACACTTTACAGGTTATGTTTAGTTTTGATTTGACGGATACCGTTGACAGCAAAAAAGCGAGGGGTACCAATCCAACAAAATAAAAAAAATAATGCGTTTCTATTTCTTTCGGCATCATTTCTGTCTAGAAACGCACGCAAACTCGGCCAATCAAGTACGGTTTCGGTATTGTTTCCACATCGAAATAGAAAAAATACAAAGTGTTCCTTTAACAAAAACAAGTTGTAAATCAGCATATGCATGATTGAAGCGCATTTTTGTTAATGCAGGTCAGTATTTTATTAGCGAAGTTTAAAATTATCGATCTCACGAGTAATTTTGGCTGCGTTAAATAATTAATTTTATTTAATTTCAATTGACGGTACGTCTTCATTTTGTAAACCAAATCACAAAGTAAATAATAAGTTTTTATACTGGTAGCGCTATCTAACGGTAAAATTATAGCACCTCCGAAACCCATATCGAAATTATTTTCTTCAAATATCGATCTCACAAGTAATCTAACTCAAAATAGGCTAGTGCCTGCACATCTACACTATAGCAGAAAGCTTTTAGTGAAAATTTGAAGTCTCTAGCTATTGTAGTTGTGGAGATCTAACGCGGACAGCCGGCCTGCCAGCAATAACGAATATAATAGCGTATTTTTTTCAAAAATGCGCTAAAAAACGTGGATGGCGAACAAATGAGGTTACAATGGAATACCTGGATATTGTGGAAGGTGGGTTCAATCAATCTTTGTATTATCTTATCTTACTTTCTTCTTCACTGTACAAAAGGCGTGAACTTTGCACCGTTACCAGTACGTAGACAACCACGATAGTACCCATTATCTAAGCATCTAAGACATAAGACTACTAATACTTAATCGTCATTTTTTATAATAATAGCACAGCCTTAGAACAAAATCTAACGACGCTTTAAGTGGGTATGAAACGATTATTTAGCCCAGTTATAACTGGAAATAATTCCAGGGATGTAGTATGGCAGGTACTACTTAACTACTCATTTCAAAGTTCCTGGAAAATGGAAAATTTTTCCGATAGGTATTTTCGTACAATTGTGGGAGCGTGCACCATCCCGTTGAAACCAACAGTTTCCACTTTTTGTGTTTGTGTACCGTACATCGTTGTATTCGTAATAAAAAATTGCTACTCAATACAGTATGTCCTTTTTTTCGGGCCATGTAAAGAAATAAAATTGATGATCATTTCTCCAAAATGAAACGTTGTATTACAAATCTTTCAACGGTTTCTTGTAGAAATCAAAAAGTAGCAATGAGATAGTGGTTTTTTATTTTTGTATCTGTTCACGCGTCAGAAAAAAATAAAAACGAATTCGGCAAACATCGATTTTTCGGGAATATCTTCGGAAGTAATCGGAATTTTCTGGTTTTCTTGGAAGCTTGGTAACTCTTTAATGGCGCACTTTTTCTCTAATTTGACTATAGCCGTATCTTTTGTGGTTTCGGAGATCGCCATGATAGACATCCATATCTTGGGCCCTGTCTTGGACACAGTGTATAATTATATAACTTTTCAATTTCGTGGCTACTATTGAGCTTCTGGTGTAGGTAGCGATTTAAAAATGTTGATTTAGTTTTATAAGTGATCCCTTTCTTTATTACGGCATTTGAGTTGCCGCACTAACCTTTCCTACTAATGCTCAAAATTAAATACGAATTCCGGAAGAAATAAGATTGATCAAAAGAGTACTTCCACATAAAAAATGAGTTTTGAATGCTCGTCGAAGAATTAACCGTGTTAACCTTTTCGTTCCTCGGATTTCTTTGCTTCATTTTAATATTTTTTGGAGTTTATTTAACAACTTTTATTCTTCTCGTTTGTCTCAGTTCTTTCAGATTTTTAAGATGATTTGAATTATTCTGCATTTTCGAATTCCGATTATCCAATATGCATCGTTCTTCATAAGTTTTAGAAGTTCCTTAGCTTATTTAGATTATTTCTTTGTTTCTGGACTGTTTTTATTTCATGTTCTTAAGATCCATACATGCTTTCAGGTTCAGTCTTCGTGTGCTTTTGTCCCATTTAATTGGTCCAGTGTTTGCTGCTTCAGATTCTGTATAGCTATAAAATTAATCGATTTTTTTTAAGATAATTCGGCTTCTCCATTTGTTCAAAATTCCTAGAGTTTTAAAGATTTTTATCTCTTATTGTTCAGGATGTGATAATTCAATTTTTTCCGTATCTTGGATTCTTTGGCTGCCTTCGTTTCTCCGAACGGTCCAAATTTCTGGTAGTTAAAATCCTTCAGGTAGGTTCATAAGATTCGCCTGATTTTGAAGATACTTCGAATTCTTGTAATCATCCTATTATTCAAATTCTTCAGATTCTTATAGGTCATGGTTTTGTGTTTGGTCGAATTCCTCTGATCGTCAGCTTCCAGGCACTACCTATTTGAATTCATTGTGTGCTGCCTATTTCTCCGATTTATATGATTTTACGTTTCTTTGGATTCTTTGAGTTTTTAAATTGTGTATTCAGGTATTCTTTCGTATTTTTCCTTTTCTTCGAATTCCCACGATTTTTCAATTCCATCAGATTATTTAGATGCTTTTGTTCAAACAATTTATTTATAGTTTGTTCGCACTTTTTAAATACTTCCCGCTCTATGGATGTTTTGGATCCATCAGCTTAGAAAAATATTTAAAAAAAAAGTATTTCTCAGGGTATTTCCATACTTTTATTAACGAGTAATTGATGGATGATGTAATCCCTGTACAGAAATCAACTCGGGAATCAATTAATAAACAACCTCTTAGTTTGGTTGGATACTTTATTAGAATTTATTCACTTAGGTGACAATCACCTATGCGGGAAAGTGCAATAATGTAAAGTCAACATTTGATTGCAGTTTGACCTCACGCTTATTGCACCTTCAGTGTTTCTAGCAGGAACACTTTAGTTTACATATTACATAGTTGATTTTATAATAATTAATAACATCACTACAATGATAATTTTGTTTGAAATGTACCATGATTGGTTTTCGAGCGAAAACAAAAGGGAAAAACGCTCTAGTCTTCCTGGGGTGCCTGCGAATAAGAAAAACCGACAGGGCATGTGAATGAGAATCATTCTCCCTAAGCTGTAGAAGTAACTCAGTAGGTTTATTGAATGGTTTTTCTCAGACCCACCTGACCACTCTGTTCGAAAATGTTGGGTGTCCGAAAGAAAGCCTCGCAAGGAGCTTAAAATGGTCTTAATTGAGGCCCAGATTGCTTTGTTCTTGTTTAGTTCAGAGGTCATGATTATATTTTAAGTGTAAACGATTTGCACCTGACTGGAACTCGGTCCTAGAACTGCTTTCGCTTGGTCGGAAAAACAAGTAAGATTGAATGTTGTATTTCCACTTCTTTCCTCCGCTCGAGGACAAATTAGACTAATATTTGATTATCATGTTACCCTCCATTAAACATATTGTTCATAATTTCTCTTCTGCATTTCGCGACCTCCTTGGACGCTTTCCGAGACCCTCCAGCCTAACGTGGCGTCTTTTCATTGTAAGTTAAGATTGACATTCCGACGTAAATTTTTTGCAGTCCCTAGGGCAAATCTTAAGCGGGAGACCCAATTCATATTCTAGAGTCATTAAAAACTACACAATTGACATAATATTTTTTTGTATTTGCCTTAATGTTAATGCCTCAAATAATTAACAGTAGAAAATAAATAAATAAATTAATTAATTAAATACAAAAGACATTTGCTATTAGTAACGCATTGTAACTAGTGACTAGAAACATTTAAATAGAACATTTATCTTTTAACGAAACCAAATTTTGAGTACAAATCCTGTTTCTGTATCAAACGGTACAATTTTGAAAATATTTCCTCTTAACGTAATGTGCATGATTGTATAGATAAGTAAATTTAATACATCACACCTCTTTACAATTTAGTCCCATTGGATGGGTACCATTCTATACTAATATCTGTTCCGAAGTACTGCACTTCTTATCTTCTATTGCTCCGTATTGATCGCGCACGCCGGATATAGTCGTAAACAATCTCTTTTGTCTTGCCCATCCCTTGCCGCCTGCACGTATTTATAAAATCGTATAACGTCTGGATTGGTGGTTGCTGGCTTTTGTAATTCATTTGAATCCCTGGAAATAAAAAGAAAAATAAGTAAAATTTTAGCATATGCAAATGAAACTTTAGTCAAATATGATTTGAGCAACATTACAAACTCAAAACCTTCCTCATACCTAGTTAAATTTAATGTGTTGCCTCTAGATCTAGGTATGTGTATAATTTACCTAGTATTTCAAATATTTCTTCATATTCTTTGTTTCACTGGTGCTGAACCTGACGTCATAAATGTGATTCTCTCTTCATTACATTTAAATCGATTGAGACAAAAAAATTACGTCATTAACGTAAGTCGTGACAAATAAACCAATTATTGATCTGTCAATAATATCAATCCGTCAAACGATTTTCGTTATAGACAGATTTCCAGTGTTAAATGCCTTTTGATTAGGTAGTTTGTGTTAAAAGTGAAGTAAATATCATCAAAGTTGAAAACGCTTAGGCAAGTCCACAGTGCAGCAACGCCGTTAACAGACAAGTATTTTAAAAATTTTACATAAAGGTTCGATTCGCTCATATCATGAATTTAGGTCATTACCGTTACAATTAGGTAAATATGACGAACCGATACACAGAAGGTGAGCAAAGTTTGATTTTGAAGTTGATTCAGTACTTCCAAGGGGAAAAAGAAGCAGGCAAAACTTTAACACCCGTAAGCGCAGTATATGATGTAAGTGTTTCCTATGCGTTTGCTATAATCATATGCTTACTTAATCACAGAGGGTTTGTGCTGCCCTGGGTGTATCGTTGTGGACTGTAAAAAGAATTAGTACAAGAGGTGTTAAAAAAGATGACGATTACAAATCGCAAAAAAGTGTGGCTATTAGTTTATCTCACGGACCTCCGCTGCATGAAATACATGAACATGTAATAAGGACACGGATTTATGCAATGTATGCGACAGGTAAATAACATTCTTTATGTTCTAAGGGAAGATTTGCTTTAAATGAAGACGTTCGCGAGAGCACTTATGGAATTGATTTTATAGGTGAGAATGTTACACTCCGTTCTTTACACAGTAATCTTCAACGACTTGATGGCGTAGAAATATCTGCTACCTCTTTGTCCCGCAGTTTGAAGAAACTGAAATTCACGTGGCGGAGATGCTCCGTTTCTAATAGATTATTTTTAATGGAACAGCTCTATGTAGCTCAAAGAAGACTACAATTTTTGAGAGACTTTAAACACAACGAAACTTCACTCTTTCCATTACGACCGGTGGTTTTAGACGAAACCTGGATATACAGTAAAGGGTCTTTTAGAAGAAGCTGGCAAGATGGTACTCTCAAAACAGTTAGAAAAAAAAGTGGTGAAGGGGTCCGGTATATAATACTCCATCCAGGATCAAACGCAAGTCTAATTTTTAAATCTGGTAGCAAGTCCGGAGACTATCATGACTCCATGAATTGCCTTAACTTTGAGAAGTGGTTTGAACAACAATTGATCCCGAACTTGGATGAACCTTCTCTTATAATTATGGACAACGCTTCTTACCATTCAGGATTGGTAGAAAAAAGTCCAAATCAATGCTGGACAAAAATGTCACTTATAGAGTGGCTAACATCACGAGACATTACATTTGCACCAACAATGATGCAAGATCAGATCTGGGAAGTAGTGAAAAATCATATACCACCAAAACTATTTAGGTACCTAGGCATCGCTGATAATTAAATGTTTGGTTGCAGTTAGGTAGACCTTTGGATAGGAAGCTGATTGTTATCAACAACACTCCATGTTGATTTTTACAGATTGAACGAATTAGCATTACAACATGGTCATCGTGTTTTGAGACTTCCTCCATATCACTGCGAGTATAATCCAATCGAAATGGTATGGTCAGAATGCAAACGGCATTACGATGCAAGGATCGGTTCAATTCAGCCTGTCACACACAGAGTCGTTTTGTCTTTATGGAATGAGGCACTGCACAAAGTAACCTCTTTATATGCTGTTTTGTGAAACAGTACTTAATAACTTTAATGTTTAGGTTACACCGGAAAAATGGAAAAGATATTTTGATCATACAAGAGGCATTATAAACCAGGCCTGGGAACGGGAACAACATATTGATACATTAGACATCTTACCGGTGATTGTCAACTTGGACGAATCTGATAGTGACGAAGATTATTATGATGATTATATTCATGAGGCAGAAGAGAATCAGCGTGTTTAAGAATTTTATTTTGGGCCGTTTATACATATACCTACTTGTGGTGTAGTGTCGTTTTTTTCTTTTGTACATACGATTTGAATATGAACATTTGAGAGTTTTTTCAGGAATAAATATCTTCACTGCCTGTTTTCTCTCACAATTGCGTTTTTTTTAAATAAATCGGATCAGTAGATATTCAAGATCCTTATGCGAATATCTCGAGTGTGTGGCAAAAGAACAGAAACTGTATGTATGCGTTGTTATTTCAATGAGCCTGTGGTATAATGCCTACGCTTTATCTCAAATTTGTAAGATATATAAATGCGAAAGGCTTACCGATAAACCATGGCGTATTCTACTTCTGCAAATGGCTAGTTAAGGGTCATTAAAATTCGCGGCAACTTAACTCGTATTCTTCACATTAATAATTAATTAATTTCACATCAACATTAGGTAAACGAAATATTAATTTTTGCGCGATCGGTCATTTCTGACTATTTACCATGGGTGTTTCCATGACAGTACGTAGAATTTACCAGTTGCTATGATTACGACGACGCCAAAATTACTTACCGATCTAAAAACAGAACAGCAAAAATACTTACCGACGCCTTTTTAAAAATCAACAGTCTTACATTACATTTAATCTTTAATTATTGTTAGGTACATTAAACGTACAATTTGTGCTGTTGTTTCCTATAGCAAGACGCCCATAAAGTCATAAAGGAAGTACAAAGCTAGTAAACTACATCAGACACATGCACCTTTTTATGAAATTATTAATTTCAATTTTGACAAATAAACTGGTTACCTAGAGATTGACACCATACCACTTCGATCATTTCGATTTATTCTGCTCGTTAATTTCTTAGTGCATATTTATATTGGTTGCATAATTTTAATTTCGATCGCGCAAAAAATGTTATAAGCACGTCGAACGTTAAGGGTTACCGTTCTCAGACAATAATTGGAGTCGTCGCTTCGCTCCTCCTCCAAACAATTGTCTTCGAACGGTAAAAATCCCTTACCGTTCTCCATACTTAATATACTATTACGAACTGCCTAAACAAACTTTAAGTTACAAATGTTCCTATGAGTTTTCTGTAATCATCATACACTTCATCTCAAACAGTTTCTGATGCTCTGGCAGTATCCATTTCGACTGTCGTCGGTGCAAAAAATCGGTTACATGAGGTGATTACAAACGGTGGAAAAAGTTTATTCTCGAGTTTAATTCATACCATCGGAGTTCCTCTACATAAAATACATGACCATTTAGCCATTATAAAACCTGGGGACAGGAAAAAACCTATCAGGACCAGATGCCTTACAAGTGATTGTCAACTTGGACGGTCTGATAATAATGAACGATAGTGACACCTTAATAAATAAGTTAAAACGTCAATGTGACAATATGTAAACCAACTACTAATTTACGACCTGCCTTAATTTTGCTATGACGTCAGATAGTGTGACGAAAGGTTCAGCACTCTTTGTTTTGCATATGTTGATAAAAATCTGTATGTCGTGTAGATATACCCTCTAGTGATGGGTGTGTTTTTCCAAATTGATTCCTTTGTTGAGTGAGATTATACATATATCACTGCGATTGTTTAAGTGTCTACAATTGTTTCTTTATCATTTATTAATCATTTTATGGTTGTCGCAATTATATCATCGAATAATGCAATAAAATGTAATTGAATGATTGCAAGTAAAAATAAAGTCCTGTTACGATGACAACACGATTACCCACCAGGTAATTTTTCTAGTTACATTATAAGCTGGGATTAGTTCTTCAAAAGGGTATCGCCACTCGCCAGCCATTTCTGTATTGGTTAGCGACGGTACTATTGTATTTAGCAGTGGAAACTGACAAAGTTTCGAATGATAGTGTGTCAAAGAGGCAGTTGTCACCTGGTGCTGAAATTAGATCGAAAGAAAATATCGACGATGATGGGAGCGATTGTGAGTATACACAGGTACCGGCAATACAAGCGAAAAAGTAGTATTATAGTGTTATAGGTAGTTGAATAATAGTGTATTTTATAATCAGAGATATCACTGTTATCTAACAAAATTAAGCTATAGTACACATCGTACAAATTTCTTGGGAAGTGGAAAATTTCTCCGATAGGTATTTTCGTACGATTAGGAGGGTGTGTGCGGGTGCCCCATCCTGTTGAATCCGAGAGTTATATCTTGTAGAGTTCAAAAAGTGGCAATGTAAAAGTTATTTTTATGTATTTGCCCATCAGAAACCATATCAGAAAAAAATAAAAACGAAATCGGCAAGTTTCGATTTTTCTGGCATACCTTCGGAAGTAATCGGAATTTTATCATTTTCTTTATAGCATGATAATAACTGTTTAATTGCGCAACTTTGCCGGAATATAACTATCATCGTATTTTCTATGGTTTCCGAGATTCCCATGATACACATCCTTATCTTTGGCACAGTATATAGTCACACTCACAAAACGACACACGAAAAACTCAATTTTTATTTTCTAAGTACCATCCCATTATCCCATACTACGCGAGATACTACGTTTTCGAGATATTTGCATTCGCACTACATTTGCCTTCATTATTAAATGTTTATTGTTAAAATTCAACGAAAATCGCTCAACAAGTAAGATTTTCAGGGGTACATGAGAAGAAAAGTGTATATTTGATCGTTCAAAGTGTAAGGGAAGCCTAAATGCATACATTTAAATTCGTGTGTACATTTCGGTCGAACCGAATAAAATTTTATACGAAAAGTAATCGCGAAGCCCTTTCTATCAGTGACAACCAGACTGGATTGGAAAGCGTGCTTTTGGAGAACAGATGCAAGTCGTCAACTATAAGAATAGGATCTTGACAGTGATAGAAAAGCGTGGCGGAAGGTGTCGAAACCTTGCAGGTTCGCACGAGGTTCGTTCTGTATTCAAGTTCTTCGCAGGGTAACACTGGGAAAAGGAAAGTTTTGGGAGACGTGCAGAAACCGTGAAAGCCTACAGCTCGTCCGCTTTTAAATTTTTAATCATGACAAATCCATGGATTTCCTTAGCAACTAATGATTGCCTATGGATATTTGAGAACTCTGGTTATCTTCCCAAATTCCTTGCAATGCTAAAAGATATGAGTTGAATTCTTTACGTTGGTAGAGTGACAAATCCATGGATTTCCTTAGCAACTAATGATTGCCTATGGATATTTGAGTCCTCTGGTTATCTTCCCAAATTCCTTGCAATGCTGAAAGATATGAGTTGAATTCTTTACGTTGTAGAGCTTTGGATCGAGAATAATCTGCGAAAAGATCTACCTGGAATTAAAATCTGCTGCTAGTTCCGCAATTTCGCAATTAATAACAGAAAAAAAAACGTATTTTAAGGCTTTGTATACGTGAGCAAGTGGGTACAATAAATGCGTATCTGGCAAAGTACTTTCCTTTCCTGGTGAAAAAAATTAAGGTTAAAAATTTCAATTTTGTGGAACATTTATTTCATTTTTAAGTGTATGCTGAAGGTTAAGGAAGAGAGGGGTGCTTGAAAACAAGGCGGTTGGCTATGCCACCGAAAAGTCTAAACCCAACAGTGATAAGCGATGACGATTATTTTATCCTAGATTTTATCTGTAAACCATAAATAATTAAACGTTCTGGTGAATTCAATAAACGCTTATCGTTTTTCAAGTAATTTTGATTATGGGAGTATCAAGAGCCATGCGTCGCGATGAATTAACAAAAATCACAGTGGATATAACGTGTAGTATTGTGATGGTGTGTTAATAATTAGTATTACTGTACCAGATTCCAAGGCGGATATAGATCATACATTTACAACCACCTATCACATATCTTATTATACAGCACTATATGAACATGCATCTCTTCATCCAAAACATGTTACCAGTCGCCAATTATTAATGAGATAATGAGCATGCAGGGTGCTGTGCACAAGTTGTTGGTTCATACTATCACAGAAATACTCTAATTTCGTGAAATTACCGGACATGCCACCCAAAGTCTTCGGAGAAGCTTTGTTATCCCTTTGTCTAACTCAGTGGATCTAGTAAGTATCTACTTTAACGCCAAAATCGTATGTAGAAAATAAAAATAAAATTGCTAATTCCATTTTGGTAGTGGTACTGGGGATGCCCATTACAGCTCTCAAAAGGAGTGTCCAGAATTGTGTCAATTTTATTTCTTCTGAAGTGACAACTCCAACTGCATAATCACGAAACGATTGGAAGCGGTAGGGAAATCAATTTTTGGAACCGCTGTAGATGTTCACAAGGGATCATTGTGCTACTGGTTAACCAAAAACGTGATTTTTAGATAATAGACATACCGGAATAAGCATGACACCTAACCCCAAAGATGTTGCGTTGAGTGTTAAAGTGTGAAGAACGAAAGGTTTTGAGAAGTCACGACATAATAATACTGGTGTACTAGTTAGTAATTCTTTCATTCGGACAAAAGCTTCTACACACTCAGGTTTCCACACAAATTTAACATCTTTTTTAGTAGGAGACTGGGTCCTGATGCAATCCAAATGAATCGGCGACGTATGTACCCAGGATATTTCAGTTCAACTCGGCAAAGCTAACTTTATTAACTATTTTTATTAACAAGGAGCCCCGCTGAAAATAATCGATCAATCACATTGGACAAAGATTTGAGATGTGAGTCAAAACCACGTACTAATCGAGATAGACTAACACATTGAGTTGTAACTCTGGTCCCAGAATTTTTTTAATAATACGTTGTCATGTCGCTGGTGAATTCGTCAGCTCAAAAGCCATTCTGCAAAACTCCAGGCACGGTAGAAACAGTATATGGTCCTTAAGATGGAGCCATTCCAAATTGCCAATAGGGGGATTTCATATCGATAGATCTGAGGGAACGCGCCTCTCGTAGTTGGTCTAGAATCGTAGAATCGTAAGGGATAGGAAAAACATCCTTTAATATATGTGACAGTTCGACTTACGATAATCGAGAAAAAATCGATGTCTCTTCCTTCTTTGGAATTAAACATATTGGAGATGCCCACCCGCCCTTAGAAGGTTGAAT